CCCCCCCCCCACACACACACACACTTCTTTTTTTCCTTTTTGGGTGAACTATCTCTTTCATTTTTATTAATATGGATTTTTGAATTTTTATTTTCAGATCTTTTATTAATATGTAAATATTAATATTTTAATTAAATGATAATCTAAATAATAACTGACACTGCCTGTTAGGTGGCAGTAAATGTCTTAAAGGGATAGTTCACTCAAAAATGAAAATTCTGTTGTTAATTGACTGTTCGCAGGGAGCTTGATTGACAGGCGATCTGACCAATCAGAACCCGGATATTATGTGCCGTCGCTGCTATCTGGCGTCTTGCCCGACAGCTAGGCATTTCTCCATAGAAATCCATGTTAAAACGTAGGGCTGGACAATAATTCAATATCAATATATATCGTGATAAAAAAAACTTCAATAACGGTGATATGATTTTGAAACACATTTCCGATATTTCGATATACATTACCAGTGTTTCCCATACATTGATTTATTTGTGATGTTTGATTTCGTTGAATAAACAAGCACTGCACGTTTCAAAATCATAACACGGTGCAAGTGTTTTATATGAATGTATCTCTGAAGAGAACCGATTGTCTTCAGAAAAGTTTCGATGACATTTTCATTTTATCTGATTAAGAAGCATTCATGAGCGGAGCTGCTGTGATTACAGCCATTACAGAAGAAACCGCTAGTTCTGCCGCTCTCAAAGCGCCTCCTGCTGGCAGACAATCAGTGTGCATTTTCAATAATAAGCTCATCTCCAGCAATGTTTTTGTTGTTGCTCAATTTTTTTTTTCCTGCAGAAACTCGGAGCACTTTTCATATTCTTTATACTGGCTAAAGCACATTTGTTTCAATCTATAAGAATAATCAGCCTACACTACCAGTCAAGTTTTTGAACGGTAAGATTTGTAATGTTTTTTTCTTTTATTTTAAGAATTCTCTTCTGCTCACCAAGCCTGCATTTATTTGATCCAAAGTACAGTATTTATTATTACTATTTTTTTACTATTTTTACTAAATATTTTTACTACTTAAAATAACTGCTTTCTATTTGAAAGCAGTTATTTAAAATCTTCAGAAATCATCCAAAGATCAGCATTTATCTGAAATAAAAAGCTTTACACTATATCATTCAAAAGCATGGAGTCAGTATCATTTTTGTGTGTGGGGGGGGGTGGGTGATTATAGAAATTGTAGCAACAGGAAATTATTTCTGTTTCTACAGATTCTACTTCATCTGTGTGTCTGCAGTGCTGATACACAAAGGTGAGCATCTGAATAACACATTTAATATTCATGTAAAACATTTACTGTATTGTAATATTTCTAGATTGTTTTATTCTGTTTATTCCCTTGAAAAGGTTTTAAACAAGTTCATACCTGTTTTAGAATTTTGGGCAAAATGTGTCAAATATATTTTGTATTTAAAATTTAACTAAAGTATGTTTTTTTTTTTTTTGCCATGAATTGCCAAATAATCTGGCATGGCATTAAAACAAACAAACAAAAAATAAACGTGTATGAATGTTATATTGTGTATTAACAGTTACAGTTTGTGTGATTTCAGTGTCTCTGCAGGTCCCAGGTGTTATTGGTGGTTCTGTTGTCCTGCCGTGTTCTTCAACTGAACCTGATCAAGACACTGAAGTGCATTGGAGACAGAATGGTAGCAAGATTGTGTATGATATAATCAAGGGTAAAGATTCAGTAGAGCAACAGGAGCCACGATACAAGAACAGAGCTGAAACTTTCCCTGAAGAGTATAAGAGAGGAAACTTCTCCATCAAACTCAACGATCTTCAACACACTGATGCAGGAAAATACACCTGTCTCATCGCACACTCATCTGAACATAAGACTGTGGAGCTGATCATCAACGGTGTGTAGTAATGGTTGATTGATATATTAATAAAAAATAACGTTTGCTATTAATGTTTTGTTCAGTCTGAATGCTGCTGTATAAACATTACAGACCGATCTGTTGCATTTGTCACATTGCAGTAATGATCTTTCTTTCTTTTTTTCTTTCTTTCTATCTTTGCAGAGCCAACAACAGAAAATGGAACTAAATCAGCTGATCAAGAAACCCAAACAGATGTGGTGACATCGTCGTCTTTGCTCTGGGTTTACATCATAGTAGCTGTATTAATATTAATAATGCTTATAGCCGGTTTCATCATTGGCTATAGAAAAAAAATTCAAGCTGCTTTATTCTCTCCTGTCATGCCTGAAGATAAAGAACAGACAGAAATAAATGTGTAACATTAATAAAAAATGTTAAAAGTTATTTTAACTAAATTGTTACAGCTTTCATTGTTTCATTCTGGTGTCAGAGACACTGTTTTGTGCTCTTACATTCTTTTTGTTTGCACCGAGTTGCTTGCACAGATATGTTTGTAGCAATAACCAACAATACATTGTATGGGTCAAAATTATTGATTTTTCTTTTATGCAAGAAATCATTAGGGTATTAAGTATAGATCATGTTCCATGAAGATATTTTGTAAATTTCCTACTGTAAATATATTAAAACTTAATTTTTGATTAGTAATATGCATTGCTAAGAACATTTGGACAAAGGTGATTTTCTCAGTATTTAGATTTTTTTTGAACCCTCAGATTCCAGATTTTCAAATAATTGTATCTCGGCCAAATATTGTCCTATCTTAACAAACCATACATCAATGGAAAGCATCAATTTTTTTAATTGACCCTTATGACTGGTTTTGTGGTCCAGGGTCACAATTGAAGGATGAATGATTCTGTTATTGAGTTAGTGCCTTAACAATTCTGTTCTGTTCCACAAATTTTATTTTCTTTGTTGTGTTTGCAAATATTAAATGTATTTTGTATTGTTTATGTATTTATATTTAATTAATAATCTGATTAATTAATTCCTGATTCATTCAGTTTGCTAAATATGTACTCAAGCGTTCCACTATATAGTTCTACAGGCTAATTGTATTATAAATGTATTGTTCAAATTGTATTTCCCTGTTGTTTTAACTTTCTCATTCTCTCTCTCTTTCTCTGTCTGTCTCTCCATTCAAGTCATTTCAAATAAAGCTTTTTAGCATGACTAGTATTGCCAAAGCTTCAGCCATTACAGGAACATACAACAAACAAAATTATTATATAATACATAAACAAAATAAAAATATGTGAACTTTTAATAACTTATAAATGTAAAAAAAAAACTTGCATGCAGACATGTTAAGATGTTTATTTCTGACTGTGTTTATAGCAGACTTATATATATTTTGCTCCTTGCTGGAGTTCTCCCAAAATAAGTCCAAAAATGGAGTACTGTCTTCTGGATGGTGATTTAATGACATCTTTATAGTGAGCACTAATGTGCATGGACTGCTTCTAGCACTGCAGGACTTGAGCTTAGTATGAACTGGGGTCATTTTTTATGTGA